CAGCAACCCGGCCCATGGCTCAAAAAGGTTGCCTACCCCTGATCTAGACCCTATACTTCCATTGATGCGGCCTAAAATTGCATTGGCCTTTTAGCTGCTGCATCACACTGTTGACTCATGTTCAACTTGTGGTCTACTAGGATTCCTAGATCCATTTCACATGTAGTCTCATTAAGCCATGTATCCCCCATCCTATATCTAGGCATTTCATTTTCCCACCCTAAGTGCAGAACCTTATATTTTTCTGTGCTGAAATTCATTTTGTTAGCTTTGGCCTAGCTTTCTAATCTATTACAGTCATTTTGAATGTTGATCCTCTCCTCTGGGGTATTAGCTATCCCTCTTACTACTCCAGGGGAGAGGATCAAAATTCAAAATATTCTTAATAGATTAGAAAGCTGGGCCAAAGCTAACAAAATAAAGTTTGCTTATTGGAATTTGTATTTTTTTAAAAAATAATTTCATGCCATGGATGGTTAAAACTGTGCGTAAAGAATCTATGGATATAGAGGGGTGACTGTAGACCAAATAGTTAAAACAGCCAGAGAAACTGCAAGGACCAAGGCCATGGGGAACACAGCTGTTTGCCCACTGAATGATCAGGAGATGGACCCAGCCCAACTTCCCTTGGCAGGGAGTTCCATAGTCAGGGTGCTGTTACAGAGAAAGTCCTGTCCTGTGTATACACCAAACAGTTGAGGGGCTGGGATACACAACAGAGCCTCAACTGAAGATCTCATTTTTTCAGGCAGGCTCATATGCGTGAAAGCATTCTTTCAATAGACCCTTCTCTTGTTATTCCATGGTTATTATTTTCTCTGATTGTGGTAAAGTTGGCTTTTATGTGTTGACTGTCACTTGCAGACCCTGTTGTAGTTGTGTGCTTTCAAGTCATTTCTGACTTATGGCAACCCTAAGGCGAACCTATCATGGGGTTTTGTTGGCAAAAATTGTTCAAGAAGGTTTGCCATTGCCTTTCCTGAGGCTGAGAGCCTGTGGCTTGCCCAAGGTCAACCAGTGTGTTTCATGGCCGAGCTGGGAATCAAACCCTGATCTCTAGAGTTGTAGTCCAACGCTCAAACCACTACACCACACTGACTCTTGTTGCAGCCTCTGCTCTGCCAGATTAAAAGCTTTTAGCACTGCACATCTGCTGCCTATGAATATATCTATATTTTATAATTGAGTCATCTCTAAATTGAGAGCCTGTTCACCACTAGGCAGGCAAAGGCAGGGATCCAAACAGATAACTTGGCAGGGGTGAGAAAGTAATTAACCTAACCAAAACGCTGAGTCAACAGCCTGATCACAGATACCACACCCTGCCTGCAAGGGAGCACTAGGTGGACTCAAGCCTTCTGTTCCAATTATTAAAGTAGTGTCAAAGGCACAGCAGTAGCATCATGCTATTGAGCATGGTGTTGCACTGGTTCTTGCCTCATGTATCTCTGCCCCACCTGGTGAATGGAAAGCATACTCACAAATTTGGTTGTCCTCCTCAATGGGACAGGGTGTTTCATCATACAAATCAAGGCAGCCTTATGGGGAAAAAATGTTTAATGGCTGCAAGATCTTTTTGCATTTGGTGACATTTCTGCCAAAAAAAATATTTGCACAAAACCCTTGGGGCTTTATACCAAAACATTTCTGCACACAAAACACAAAAGGGATTTGCACATTTCTGTGTACAACTTAACTTTTGCAAACACACACACACAAAACAAAAAACAAAAACTCTCTAAAGTGCAAAAATAAAAAAGCAATAAAATATGCATAATTTCTTTTATTTTAACCTGGAATGGAAAGTGGGCAACATTTGGAATTATTAATTTTGGCATGCAAGGATGAAGTGAAGAAACCTTTATACCTCTAGCCCCACCATGGGATCACTGGCACGGCAATACGCAACAAGAGTGCAACAGTCTTAACATGGCCTGATGGTAAAACTATATAGAACCTCATATGTATAGAAATGAATGTGGGGTGGGATTGTTGCAGAAAGGCCCTTTCTAGCAGATGTGCATGTGGTATATATGTACAAGCTGTAGAGTTCCCTATGTGCTTTGGCACTGGAGACTTGAACCTTCAAACCAACACGTATTCAGTGTGCATGCATTCAGTCATGTTGTATGATGTAATGACTAGTGGGACTAGGACTGAGATAGCACAAATACAGATTTCTGCTGAGCCCCTTCCACCAGTCCTTGGCTGGAATTCAGGTAAGGACATCTGCACACTAAAGTTCCTGTTATGCATTTGGACATGCTTTTTCAGGCACTGAGGTGATTGGCACTCCCTTCCTCTCTCCGCAGACCTCAAAACTCCCCTCCTGACTTCCTATAAATCCCCAAATCTGCCTCGCATGGGCCTTCCATGCTTCAAGGTGAGCAGGACCAGAGTAGTGTCTGACAACTCCTCCCCCTGACCAGATTCACAATTATTACAGGACTGCTGAGATTTCCAGAAGACCACCTGGATCTCAGCGTTGATATCATCATTGTGTGTCCAACCATGGGGTGGCACTGGCAGCTAAACCTTCTCAAATCCTGCCTGCTCACCTATGGAATGACTGTGTGAGTTGGCTTTGGAGCTTTACCATAAGTTGAGGGGATGACATATGGCTCAATGTAGCAAAGGTCTGCATGTGGGTATTTCCACTAAACTGAGGGGATGCTGAATTGAAGCCATATTCCTTCCGTTCAACCTACCGTTTCAAGGTTGGTTTGAAAATAAAACTAGGGAGGATCCCACTGTTGGCTCCTTGAAGGAAAGGCAGGTTATAAATTACTCAAATAAATAATTGTGTTCATAGCTCTAATGTATGGCCTGAAGGCAGATGGAGCAGCTAGGCATAAATAGGTCTCTTTCTGGTCAGAAATTAGACAGGAGACTCCCTGGGGACTCCTTGTGTCTTGAGTTGCAAAATATACCAAAGCAAAGTATACATTTTTAAAAGTAGTTAGGGTATGAATGTAGTAAAATAAAATAAGCATTCAGCAGGAACAGATGTCTTGGTAGAAGCCTGTCTGCCCAGGAAAGAGGGGCAGCTCTTGTTGCTTTTAACACGTCTGTTGCTAGGGGGGAAATAAAAATAAAAATATGATTTAGGTCTCTGTCAGTCCTATTTCCCCCATCTTTGTAGTTCTCCCTCTCAGCAGCATTTCTTCTGCCATGCTGGGAATGTGGGCAGCCACCAGAAGGTGAAAAGTAGCATGATTCAAAAAACATTTCCCCTGTTTCTAATTTTAAATGGCTTGATGTTGTATGATGTTGGTTTTACTTTGATTGTTTTAATGTTGTCTGAGTTTAATTTATTTTTAAGGGGTGGGGGGTTTGAGGGGAGTAATTTGATTGATGTGTTTTACTTTGTATCATTTTAACTTGTTGTACGCCACCCCGATTGCTTAGCAGAGGGGCGGGTTAAAAATAAAATTTATTATTATTATTATTATTATTATTATTATTATTATTATTATTATTATTATTGATCTGGGATAGCACAACAGTGGAAAGGAGGAAGAGGAGAGAAAATGCAGGATGAATCCAGTTCAAATCTCAGGTACTGGGCTGCCTTTGGCAAGCCTCGGTTTTCTTTAACTCAACCCCACTCACAACTGCAGCAATATAGCTAAGGCAATACTGTCTCACTTCACACTTTTTAGGCCATGACTCCTACTTCGGAAAGGCCAGTCCTTTGTTCAGTCCTAATTCTGGTTGAAATATAAATCCAGCATAAGAAGGGATAACATGGGGGAGGGAACCTTGATGCTATCCATCAGCAGACCAGGCAGGAACACAGGTTTCCTGGTCAGCTTTGGTGAGATGTGTTGCATTTCCATTTAAATCATGGCGATTCTCTCTGCTTTTGCAGCTGTACATGTAAGTTCTATGCTAATATCACTGAGGGATTGTGGTCCAGACAGGAGTGGGGCATTTGTATCTGCCACCTTGGAGTGAAGTATGTCCCTCCCTGTCAGCTCAGACCATGGGTTAGCTCAGGGGTAGGCAACCTTTCCCCTTTAAGGGCGGAGGGACTTCAGCTCCCAAAATCCCAGGAGCTATTGGCCAACATGGGACTATTGGCCAACATGGCTGAGGCTTCTGGGAGCTGAAGTCCCTCGGCCCTTAAAGGGGAAAGGTTGCCTACCCCTGGGTTAGCTGATGGCCAGATTCCATCCTTTTCTCATGTTCTTTGGCAGGGTGGGTGGGGAAAGGGAGATGGAAATCAATGCCAAAGTGAAAGTCCTATGACTATTGTATGAACACTGGCTAGAATCCTGTTTATTAGTTCTAAACAGAACAGATCCATTGAATCAATTGTTGAAGGGTGAGTCAATATATACATGAATCCAATTGATTCAATGAGTCTATTCTAGTTGGTACTAAATTTGTCAGAATTTAGGCTTCTGTATGTAAAGGACATTTTATGTAGAAATGTGTTTTAATTGTTAAATTTTTAGCATACCAAACTATTTTTGGGAAGGGATTATCACATTTCAGTGTTACTTGGCACCAACAGAGGCTTCTTTTTCCCTTTGTATTAACAAGCTGCCCAAGAAAGGGGCGATTCTGTATGGCTGCATACACACTGCAGAAATAAACCACTTTTTTACCACTTTAACTGTCATGGCTCCATACTGTGGAATTCTGGCAATTATAGTTTGTTGTGGCCCCTGAGCTCTCTGTCAGAGAAGGTTAAATGTCTCAAATGACTAGACTTCTGAGAATTCCATAACATGGAGCCATAGCAATTAAAAGTGGTGTCAAAAGGGATTATTTCTGCAGTGCAGATGCAGCCTACATGTCACTGGATGGCAATGGCCTTATGTGAAGTAGAGTGGGTGTCCCTCTGTAGGCCCAGTATCAGCATCAGACAGTTGATTGACCCCTAGTGACATGGTGTGGGTTTGGAAGTTATCCACCATGGGGTGGGTAGAGTTTTGGAAGTTATCCACCATGTTAATTTCCCATCTTGCCCTGCAGAAATGGTCTGGTTAAAATCCTTTTTAAACACACACACACACACACACACTTGTATAAGGTATTACTTTATGCAAGCAGTTCCCCATTTGCCCACAACAGAATGGGCTGGCTTAAAGGCCAGCTTAACACATGGGGTAACCTCAAGCCACAAAATCTGGAACTACCATTGAGGCAGCCCACAATAGCCACTGGAACATATCCTCAAATGCTGACTCTGTGTAAGTGTGCCAGTGGAGCTTCACTGCACTGAGCATACAGAGGTGGTGGCACTGCTGAAACAGCATTCCCACTATAGCACTTCTATTCTCCACTACAAGTAAGTGTGAGTCCACTGACTTAAAAGTGTGAGTCCACTGACTTTTTGATAGAAAGCACGTGTGTGTGTGTGTGTGTGTGTGTGTGTGTGTGTGTGTGCACGCGCACCAGTGTTTGTCTTATGGGGATTGGCACTACCCCTAAGGCATACATATACAGTCAAGGCAAGAACCAGTGCTTGGGAAAATCACTACCCCAAAAAGTTTTTCTGAAAGTTTTCTAAAACCCAGAGCTCAGTTTCCTGAAACAGGTTTCTGGGCTGCAAACCAAACTCAATTTCATGTAACAGCTTTCTAGGCTTTAAAAAGCTCCTTAACTCTCACCTCAGATCACTGACTAAAGTTAACAGTAGAACAGAGGTGGGGAAAGTATAGCATGTTGGTTACATGTGATGCAGAAGAATGTGTTTAAGGCCTCGGGGTCCCCCACCATCTCAAAATATTTTTTTGCAACAAGATTTGTTTTAATTCCCCCCCCCCCCAAAAAAAATGCCTTTAGGGACATGGGGACATTTTCACCATGATTTGGGGGCCCTGGACTGTTTTAAGCTCAGTAGGATACTATTTTCCATCAGGGAGTCAACTGGGGAAAAAAATGTACCCCCAAAATTAAAAATTGGGAGGGAATGCAAAGAATCTTACAAGGTCCAACTTCTGGCACCTGCTAATCCTTCCAGTAGAAGCAGCTTGAAGGGTAAATGGGAAAATTCCTTAAACCACATTAAGCCTAGATGCTTGAGTTTCCCTACTCTTAGTAAAGTGAAGTATCTTTTAAAAATTTAAGGGACATACAAACAAGAAG